AACAGGTCGTGCATGTGTTAATATAGCCATAGGCAAATTGGCCCTTTTGGGCAAAACGTCCCATTACTGTATTTATGCTATTATTTCTATTCATAATTACAATAATTGGTCCAAAGTTGAAATTGTATTCAATATTACAACACAAATTACATGAAAATTTCTGAAAAACCTTCAACAGAATGAAATTTAAATGAATTTTTCATAGATAACGTCCAACAATTTATATCTGAGTAATTTGAGAACTATGTAAAAGAAATGTTAAACATTTTCATTTATCTTTATAATATTCAGTACAGAAGTACAGCAGTTTTATCAAGTTTCATAAGAAATTACTAAAACAGATCTGATTCATGGAAACTATGTGAAAAGGTTTTAACGGATTTCAGTTTCGCCACACGCAGCAACCACAGAAATATCTCCGTCAAAATAATTGTGTAAATTTTAAAATAAGAACGAGCTTGAAGTGGAGAAAGAACAGGTTGCAGCTCTTTGATCCAGCATTCTGTGGCCCGGCAATTCGCATAATCAAATAGGTCTTTGGAGTTCCTGTCCGTAGTTTGTGCATCTGCCGCGATGGTAGCCTTGTTTACAGCATTCGAGTTAGAAAATCAATTTACAATACATGACGCATATTTAGATTTTACATTCCTTTTAATTCTTTACATTTAGCTGTACTATTGTGTTTCAAAATGCATATTAAGAGACCAAGAGGTGTAAAAAGACGGTGCTAATAATAATAATAAAAGCAGATAGCATAAATTATCTATGCTTGTAAATACAATGTTAATGCCAAAAATATACTAGAAGAAAGTTTATAAATCTGTTGTTGCCGCTTGTCTGACAATAATATCAGATCAAGTCCACAAATTTTATCGTGGTTAAGAGGCTGTGGTGCAGTGGTCGAAACCGGTACGCAAACCCTGGGTATGACACAGGGTTGAAATGAACTTCAAACTCAAGTTTTAACAATAGCATGAATTTTAATAAGATGAAAACCTTGACAGTTGCATATTTTGACAGTATAGGACTTGGATATATTTAGTCCCGTAATTTCAGAATTTTTGTTACAGGAAAAATGCTCTATCGCAGTATACAGGAGGAATGATCGTTCTACCAGGCCAACAGGTCCATAGCTCCAAACAGGAAAGTCGTCCCCTCTTCTCAGGAAACCACCTTTTATATCTCCCTGTGTTTACTTGCGCTGAACTCCCGGGGGGGGAGTGATTCTTTCACTCATACATAACAAAGTGTCCATCTCCTGACCCTGATGAAAAGACTTCTTTTACCTCTTTGTCCACCGGAGTGACTTCGAGGCTGCAACCGGAATCATTAACAAAGGCACAGGATTTCACTACTGATATGAAAACTATTACACTCTGAAATCATTCATCCTAGACAAAGAACCTTTATGCCACCTTATCACAAGGCAAAGGGCGAGTCTATTGTTCGCTTCGGCCTTGGGCACGTTATAGTTGACATTACACATTCGCCCAGCTCTTTACCAATTTTTAAGATTTCCCCTTTCCTTCCATAACCTCTTGAAAGGACTTTCGGGTTCGACAATATTTTAGGTGTTCCCGCGCCGCAAAGACACTGCGCACTTGCAAACAACAGTTCTTTCTCCGGGATCCGAAGCTGGGCTCAAGGCTGTAGCAGCCAGCTGCCCTATCACCATGACAACTGGATGGCAGTTTATAAAGGCAGTGAGTCAGTAAATGACATCAGATCGTGAACTTTCTATTACTTAAAACGGGCGAAGACTAAGCTTTTTCTCTGAAGGACAGTTTAAATTTGCAGAATCTTGTTCCCCCCCCCCTCCTGTCTATTTTACAGCTTTGTACGAGCTTCGTATGTATGTGCAAAGTGCTACGCAAGCTTAGGAGTTTACCGATACACAGAGAGTTCCTTTAGACAGCGGTTTGAAAGGGGAGCGGAGCCCATCCCAGTTAGCTGACAAAGCCAGCGCTACGGATCAAAAAAATAACGTCATATGAGGGCAGCCAAAGACCCGGCAATGTCCCAATAAAAAAAAAAAAGGCCTGGCGAAACAGAAACACCTGTATCAACATAAAACAATAAAGTTAATAAATTTCCAACTAACCTGTAGGAAAAACCTAAAAGAAAGTTTAAATCGCAGGGAAACCAAATTAATGAGTGTTGAGTAACTAAAATTCTATATACTTGGCACTCATAATCTTTAGACAGCGGCATTAGTGTTCACTATTTTTGCTGGTTCGGCAGTAATTAGGTCCCAATGTTGACAGATTTGACGTGTATAACCTGCAACTCATGTGGAGGATTCTTGTTTAAGAGAAAGAGTAAAACACAGACAACTTAAATCTGTGTCCTTAAAAAAATTCCATCTTACAGAGATTCAGATGTAGATATCAAAAGGGCAGGAGATCTCGAACCGTCCGTATACCTGTACGTGCTGTCCCGCCCACAGCTACCTGTACACCAAGAATCCTGTACATATCAATATCGGCGACGACTCATCGCGTCATATCTCTGCGATCACTTTTATAAGCTTCCAGAAAGCTTGCTGTCTTTTCAGCTTTAGAAAGCAAAACTATTTCCTAGAAGTATTATGTGCATGGTCTATATGTTTTGCATAGCTTTATGTCTTTTACTGTTACTTCATGCTTCAATAGACGCCCTCAACGTTTTAAAGCCATTTTCTATGTATAGTAATAGGTAACTGCTTCTTCGCGTTATAGCCTTTCTTAGAAAAGATTTTACTGGAAAATTCTAATTTCATAAAGCAAAGGAAGCCTACATTTAAAAATGAGTAGTAAATTTTTTAAATGTTCATTTCTCAGTGAAATTTTAAATAAAACAAGTGGTATTGAGTAGTATACGATCTATCGCTTCTGCGATTGTACCCTACAATCATCAAACTGTAAACCACCAGAAGAAATTTGTCTACAGGACTGATATTCAAACAATTGAATCTTGCTGGGGGATTTTGAAGCTGACAATTCTACACAGCATGCGGAGTATCACACAGCTTATCCTTCCACGTTATTTCGCTAAAGCATGGTAGGGATTCATGCATAAAAGTGACGACTCTTATAGTGTGCAAATTGAGACAAAACAATTTTTTTCAGAGAATTTTAAGTTGGTGGCCACCTGGAACCACTAAGTCTCTCAAAGCAGTTTTATCTGCCTTAATGTCATCTGGATGTCTGCTTTCGACTCGGACAATAAATTAGGATTATTGCACCGTTTTTAAGCTTGTTTCTGTAAGAAGAGGAAGTTACTTTTTGCAAACGTTTTAAATGTTTTGCATTCATTCATTCATTTTAGTGCACTAAAAATTCATGCATTTTAGTGCACATAACGCTTATAAAGGAAGCAAAAATTATTGCACTCAACGGTCACACATTCATGGCAGTAAAATATTGCTTCCGCAGTTGGTATTGAAAAATCTAGCTTTTCTCGAATTCTGAACTGACAAAACGAAACTATCTTTTTCTCCAGAAAAGGAGGACAAATGTGGAAGACAAGTTAAACAACTCCGAAATATGATGGATTCCTACTCCAAAATAGCATTATTAATGTAACAAAAACTAGCAATGACCTTTAAAGACATCTATTATATATTGTTAATGATATTCATTTTTCAAATGTGCGGTGTAGACGTCTCATATCTGGTCGGAAGGCGGGAAAGCCAATTGAAAAACAACTTTTGACACGTCAAGTAAAGCAAACAAGGTTATTGTGGGCCCCCCAAAAAATTAAATAAAATAAAAAATACAAATCTTGGACTAAATGACCGTAAAAAGATCCTTTTTAGCGATGAGACTCATTTATTTGTTCATGGTTATGGTTAAATCAATACGACCAATACATATCCAACAAATCGTAAAGTATCCTTAAAACAAATGTTTGGTTCCCCCCCCACACACACACACACTGCAGATGGCACTGGAAGTCTAATTTTTATAAATGAAATGACGAATTCATAGAAGAATGCGGAAATTTTAAAACGTAGCATTGTGCCATTCTCGAAAACTTTTCCAAGAACATTTCACGATGACTTGGCTCCATGGCACAACCGGAAATCTGTCAGAAGGTTCACGTTGATAAATAAATTTATTGTGCTAGCTTGAAGCACATTCTCAAGGAACATCTTAGCAAAACGGATTGTATGAAAAAAGAGTACATGAATGAGAACGTTATAAAAGTGTGGTTCCATGATTAAGGAAATATATATATATATATATATATATCCGCCAACTTTCGTGCTACGATGGTCAACTTTCACGTCGACGGGGTAATAGATAAATACCAAAAATTTCGCATATATATACATATATATATATTCCTTTCCGTCTACTTTCATTAGCTTTTTTATTTGACATTTTTTTAATAATGACATAGTTCTTGATCAACTACTACTTGATCCACAGAACTAAAAAATCAGCACCTTTCCTGAAGTTTACTGATCACATTTAATCCATGAATAATGCAGTATAAATAATAGCAACACTAATATCAAAATATATTTAACGCTAAACGTTTTCTGGCGTATACTAATTTTAACAGATCCAGCAGTGCAATTTTTTTCTTTATATTCTTTCCAATAGGCTACGCTTATTCCTTCCCAATTATTAATTTCCTACCCAAGGGGAAAAAATAACACAAAAACATTTCAATAGCATTAGTTACAATTTATTTGAATTATACAATGATATTTAAATTTTACAAATTTATAATTTTCATACCTAGCCATATGCAATCTAAAATCTCACTCACCTATTTATTTAATGCAGTACAACTGCTTAAAGATAACAAATGGCTTCTTTTGACAACAGTAAAGTAACTCCTTTAATTTACAAAATTCAGTTGGGGAATATAAAAAATGCTTCTCTTAAGCATATTTCAAATAAAAATTTTAAGATTAGACAAATCAAATTGTTTCACTCATTACTAATGATAGTTTCTTAACGTTTAAAAACCATTAGGCTTGCTTATCGTTGTAGTTTATTAAAAATTACCTTATGTGGGTACTTTGCTGATTAGACTTGTTGATGTTCAAGGCATCTTTAATTTGGAATCCAGAAACTGATTCTTCAACTACATCCGCAAATTCATCATCTTCTTCCGACACAATAAATTTAATTTTTTCACTGCAAAAGAGAAGAAAGTCTTTAATCATCTGAAAATTTATGTAAAAGAATAAAACGGATTTTCAAAATAAATTTTGTAGACTTTATATTAAATTAGGTATATTACATAAAACTGTTACTAAAATCCATCGGAAATACAATATAAGGAAAAGATGTTAATGCAAAGAAATCATCTAAACGAAGCATAAATGTTAAGAGCACCATAAAAATTTCTGCAGCACCGAAAAATTATACACAACAGAATGCATGAAGATGTTAAATTCTCTCTAGTTAGTTATAAAATTAATGCACAACTTTTATAATGCAAATAATTGGAAGCTAAGAAAAAGAAAATATACAGACACATTGTTATTTTATTGTCTGTTGAGCCAACTAGATTTAAAATGAACCATGGCCCAGCAATACTTACTCTACTAACATATTCGATAAAAGTCTCTGTAGTAATTCTAGTCAATTGTATTCTAATAACATCTAGGTGAACAAAATCTATCCATCCCTGTGTATTCATTTTAAGACATAATTACACTAAGATTAGGGTGAAGAATACCGTATTCACATTACGTATGTCACGTTACGAAAATCATGAAAATTCTAAGCACAACCAGCCTGCTCACTGAAAGCAGGATTTTGAGTTAAATATCAAGTAAGAATAAGATTTTGTAATATAATAACTCTATAGCACAACAAACAAATTTGGCATGAATAGCAGTTCTTTTGACATGAATCAAATGGTTAGATGATTGATTGGTTAAGACAAAACATATAAAGGGTACGTGCCTAAGGGATGCCTTCATAGAGGGCTTCCTAAAGGAAACTGATTCGCATTTATGTTACTGATGGAGAAACGCCAAGTAAACAGCCCATCGAACTTTCAATGACCCACGGCCTTATGCCATTCGCCACAGGTGTGCCCATTTTTATGTGATTCATGAGCAAAAAAATGCAACTAAATATCTGCTTGTATATTGGTTTGGTTTGCTTGATTACGGCAAAGCACTCAAGGCCCTAACAGGAGGGATCCTTCGTGGAGGACTCTCTAATGGAAACTGGCTCGTATCCACGTTACACCTGGGGGAAACCACGAAAATGCAGGCCATCCTGCCAGCCCATTGAAGGGATTCGAAATTCGGACTGAAACACCAGTGCTTAACGACTTTACCGCTAGGCTGCTGGTAGGCGCCAACAGTAAAAGAAAACTGTGTTAAGATGCAGTTGTTGCTCTTTGCCGCCTTTGACCAAGCTGTCTATTAACTGATTCAATACTTGAAAATTGTTTTCAGATGCTTTATATGACACTTTGTAAGATATTCAAATCTTGGGAGACCTCCATTATTCTGAATTCCATACGTCTACTGCGCGACACGTTGTCAGTCGCCTAATCTGCAAATTGCATACGCTAACCTATGCGCAGAAGTCAAATTCTGTGGTCAGTTACAGATAATTAGATAATTACACCGTTGGACACTAGTTAAAAAATTAAGTCAGTGATCATATGTTTTTTACATAATCCTTTAGTTTTTACGACCAGCGTAAATAATACATGCAGTAAAGCCTTGCTTTACTGCATATTATTTAGCTGAAATTCCCCCAATCGGAACCTAAACGGAAGGTAAAAAATGCTTCCATTATAATTTTATGAGAACACTATTAGATTTAAACACGAAATATTTTATTACACTTCTATAAATGTGAAAAAATAAGACATTATTTCGTTGTTAGTACATTTGGTTGAATACAGACATGAATCTAAATCTGTTGTAAAATCATGCATAATATTTTCTTTCAATGGGACAAAACTCTGAAGTGGTTGCAGATGATGACATGTAGCTCAGTAAAATTTATTTAAATATATATTTAATATATACTTGTGTAACATACAAAAATATAATACTCTTAGTGTGTCAATTTCCATAAGCACTCTGTGTTGTTAACATTTTTAAAAGATAAAAAAAAGAATTAAAGATTGAATTACATAAAATCAAGGCAGCCTTGATCTAAAAAATGTTGAAAACCTCTGCTTTAAGATTGCGTACACCACTTGTTCATTGCATCCCAGCTAATTATATACCTAATTTCTGATTTATTTAAGTGATTTTTTCTTGCTGCAAAACCAAATCAAGGTTCCTTGGTATGCTAGCAAACGAAAGAGCTGACTCCATCTGACATGAAACTAGACAGTTGACTCCATTTGTCAAAAGTTATTCTGAGTTTTAAACGAATGGGTAGACTATTGTTGTAATTACCTCAAGCAAGTTTCTCGTTAATGATTGAATGCTCTTGGTTGTAGAGAAACATATCCTTTACGTAGACATGACATTAACTTTATACAAACACATCACATATCACACATTTAATTGAGCTCATAACACGGGTTAAAGTCATAATTTTATATCCATACCTCTTCTTGTCCAATTCCGTTTGATCCCAGCTTTGCTAAAATATATCCAGCTAGTCACCGCACATGCGAACTATTACACCGGAAATGTGGCGCATTTCTGTCGGTCCATAACATCACGGCTGAAATATCATTCTTGATACATAATTCTGAAATAACGCATTGCAGTAACATAACTTTTTCTTTACCAAAGTGGAAAAGATTCTTAATTTTATGCATTTATTCTTAATTTCCAGAGGTTGAATAAGGATAAAGATGATTGTCTGTTGCAGTGTCTTGTTTGCATGTTTGGAACTGAAAGACTTACATAACAGCGCCATATCATCCGCATAGCTTGCGAGAATTGCATTTACATTTTTCGGCATGTCATAAAGATAAATATTGAATATTTAGGTGCAAGGATTCTGCCCTATGGGACACCAGAATTGATTTTTCTAATACTAGAAATTTCATAGTGAATACGGACTTGAAAACCTCTTTCGTGAAAATAATTTGCGATGAAAATGATGATTTCGAGTGGGAAATTTAAAGTAATCCTTTTGATAAGGATAAATAATGACAGCCTAGGACCTAGGCAGTCTCGGCCACGGGGAGTATAAAATTATTAAGCTTGGTGGTTCCCCGTGCTCTGTGGGCGTTCGCAGTGAAACCTGTACTCATTCATTCGAGTAGCCCATAGGGTGAGATGAAATAAGGCTCATGTTAGAGCCAGTGCGGGCTTCGGGCATCCCGCGTAGTACTGGCAAGAGCATTTAGATGACCAGTCAGATTTCCAGGTTCACTGTGGCTCCGTAGACTGCCTTCCCCTGGGGTGGTCTCTGGGACACGTGGTGTGAAAGCTCCCGCTGCCCAGTTCAGCCCTGGGGGGGGCATAAAAGAGAGAGTTCATTTAAAATGTCTGCGCCATGGGTGTGGGGCCTCTGTGGTGTGGCAGGCTGAGTTTGTTTTATCTCTTCTTCTTAGAGGTTCTGTGGACATGACTGCCTCTTCCACCCAATAAGGAGATAGATCACGGATATCGCCTTAGTTGCATAGTTATTGCAGAAAAGGTTAACAAAACATTGATTGATTGATTATTTACCTTACTAATAAATAAGTAAGGTAGGTATTTATTGCTGGGGCATTGCCGCACTACATACCCAGGTAGCCAGACCCCTCTTCCTTCAGATCAACAGCAGTAAGTCCTTGTGGGAAAAACAAGTTACTGACTTTGAAAAACTCTACGGTAAATTTCATGTGGAATACTGATGCTCACGGAAAATATTGATTGCAGATATATGTAATTATAGAAATGCATGGTAGGGTTATCTGCTTAAGAACGACTTCAGAAGCCTCCATGGCATGCTTATGATAATGGACGAAAAAATGCAAATCTCGAGGCTACTCAATGTCACTGAAATCAAGACAGCAATGAATGACTAACAGCCATTTCTCGATAGAAAAAGGTGATCATAAAAGAGAAATAGCTCTGTGTACTCAAGGTAGTTGTCCCAGAGGAAGCTTAACTGTCCAAGACAATTCGTATATTTCACTTCTAAGGAAACAAAGCAGAATAGTCCCATTCGCATAGTTAGCTGCAGACATTGTAAGCACTATAGGCAGCCATATATCAGCCTGAATCATCTCCACTAGACTAAATATGAGCTGTATGAACGGAAGCCAGTCAAACACCAGATGCGTTTCCACTCTAGCATAGCCAAGCCAGATTGCAATGATTTCGCAAGCATAGTCACTGGTGATCGAGAATTTCACTCAATTGCCCGAGGCCTCTGCTCTATCCCTTAGAATGTACCTGAGATGCTCTCTCAGAACATGTCTGGCAGACAAAAAAACTACCATAATAAACTATTAGCTTTTAACTTTCCTCTCTCTCTTTTAATTCTTATCTTACTGTAATTTAAGCCTTTGTTTCTTTCAATGATTCTGCAAACAACTATTACGTTTTATCTACTCACTCATTGAAAGCACACTGTTAATGTTGCAATTGTTTTAAAATTAATATGTCAGCAATTGTTACAGATAAAAATTAAATTTTACAAAAAATAAGTAATAATAAAGAAAAAAAAATCTGAAAGGTTTCAAATTTAAAATTACGTCCAAAGAGGCATTTTTTTTAAACGTTTTGTGTGCTACCTTTATTTATTAAATATCATATTCTACCTACTTACTAAAAAATTGAGTTCAACAGCAATATCGCAAATTAATTTTAAAATGAGCATATCTTTAGAATTTCCGATACAAAGTCTCGCGCGCTGGAGATATTTTTTTTTTCCCCCGCACAGTGTTGCCATTGATCGCTTTTAAATCGTTGAGTTTGTTAATCAAAAATTCGTTAGTTTTACAAAATATGAACTAGATAAAAAAAGAATCCAAATTTGGGCTTTCAGATGCGTATATTCTATGGAAGATTACGTTATTCAAATTTTGATGGCTCTAGGTACCGTTGTTTTATCACAATGTGAGAAACATATCTACATTTGTGTAGATTCTTCATTATTTAATTTCTTTAAACAGAAGACAGGGCGATAATGTATGGTGGCAACGATCTGAAAAGTGATACAGCCTTTTAAAGTTTTCAACACGAAATGCCAAAATGAAATTAATAGTCCTTCAGGGTAAATTGCCCCTTTGGACTAATAATACAGCTAAGAGCTCTTTAACATTTATTCCTTTTCACTAGTCTTGAGAAAAAATTTCATATATTCATTAAATTTAATTACTTAAAACATTAGTTAGCGTTCTGAACATCTGAATATAAATTGGAAATCAATTTATATATTTTAATATATTGGCAATCGAGGTTATAAACTTAACAACAAATAAAAAAACTCATTTAATGTTCTTGACCGATATCTATGCCACATTTTATACAATCTGTCGTTTTTCAGATTGGCGTAGTATTGGTTCTTTAATCAAACATAAACATCTAGGTCTATATTATACAATTCCCAACGTTTTTGACAATAAATTTAAGAATGAAACATTAAATATACCTGGAATGAGAATTGCAATTCTCCGTTGCAGCTGGACTGGACTCGGTAAAAAGAAAATGTCCTTTTTGTTTTTTCTCTTCAATGGAATTTTCATGGCATGCGTCTTCTGTTTGCTCATCTTGAACTTCTCCATTCAGTGCACATGACTGGCTAGCTGGAATAATTAAATCAGAAATTTATAACAAATATTTCATTAAAACATTTAACACGTTTTGAAATATTACAATTCTTGAGAAAATATTCATCAATTAAGACACAACAACACGCCGAACAAATACTAATTCAGAAGTCAAACAACAAAAATCAGCGTTAATTTACAAAATTTGCAGCTGAAGATGATGGTTCGGTAAAACCATCGAAACTAGTCCTGTGAAAATTTTGTAAATTAACGCTGATTTTTGTTGTTTGACTTCTGAATTAGTAAAATATTCATCATTTATGAAAAATTCCCAAATTATCAGGTTATTTAAAAACTGAAAATTATTTGAAATGTATTTAAATCGTAATTTATAAGAAATCTATTACGTGATGTAATAAATTAAAAATTTACTAAAACAAACCAAATATTTAATCAACAGCAATGTTGCAGCTGATTAAAAAAAAAAAAAAAAACCATTCATTCAGTATTACGGCATAATCATCGTGAAAAAATTCAGATCATATAATATCATAGTGCAGGAAAAAATGGCATCATTGTTAGCAGTCTACCTACTTAATAAGCTATGCGATGGTTCTGAATACCTCGCAGTACTCGGAGCGATAATGGCTTAAGGTCTCATATTTAAGGGCTTTTCTGTAATTATACAGTTGTATAATGAAATTATACGTCAGTTAACGTTCCGAATTAACGATGTAACTAACAATAAGAGAATTTCGGTGTTTACACAACCATTTTAAATGAAGGTTTTGTAAATATCTCACATAATTTATCGGGTTTTAGAGGCTTTTTTTTTTTTTTTTTCCAATAACATCTTTATTAGATTTAAATTCTCGCATTGAAAATTTAGATCTGATATCGTGTTGAAATTTTCACAGATTAAGGTTATGTTAGTTTACTGGAATATGGTTAAGCACACATGGGCTATCTCTGCACTCCTGAAAGACTTTTTAATAAAAAATGGCTGGTGACTGGAAGGGGGGGAACAATGAAGCCAACTTCTTCGACTGGGTTACCAGGTCAAACTACCAGTACTTAGCGCTCTTAACCATTTGACTATGGATGGAGCCTTTCACAGATTAATACATGGATACTCCATTTTAAAAAAAAAAATACGATTAGGAAAGTATGTTCATTTTTTATATTATTCTTATTATTACCATTATTATATGCAGCATTACGATTTTAAACACAAAAGCATTACATGGAAATACATTTTGAGGGATATGACGTCTATTGTACGTAAGGTTATATTTTTTTACTCTGTACAGATTTTTCACTCAGCATTTCTTTCTTTTTCTTACTTTCATTTTTTCTTGTTATAAAGAATGCCGCAAATACATAAACCCTTCTTCACAGCATTTTCTTTGAATCACGATTTTTTAAATTTTATTATTATACATAACTTCCCCAATCCTACGATAGATTTTGCATTTAATGTTAATTTCTTTTTCAGTGGCGTGGCTGGAGGGGTAGAGTGCACATGTTTACCCGGGCGCAGAATTAAGGGGGCGCGAAGTTCATGTTACAAGATGTTAAAATGAAATGTTTTCCATTCTTGATAAATAGGAGAGGCCGCGAAATCTTCAATTATCCCGAGGCGCTGAAATCCCTTGCTACAGTTCTGTTCTTTTCACCAATATATATTACAGAGAGAAGGAGAATATCTTCAGAACAGAAACAACATAAATCTGTTTTAAGGGTTTCTAGTTACGGTTCCTGACTGGTATAGAGAAAAGCAATGACTGAGCCGGGATTCGAATCCCCGAGAATGAAAGCTTCGCGTATTTTCACTACTTAACCCTTCGACTGCTTCACAAATTTTGCATTCCCTTCCCGCGATAAAATTACTGCCCTAATGAAGATAAATTTACTTTTCAGCATTCTTTTGACAGCATAGGTCCCCTCAATTGTACCATATATGGTATTGGCATCACACACATGTTGGACATCTCCTTGCTTTCCTTCACGATCACCGATTTCGACATTTTACATTTTTAACCAGAACCACCTTTTAGACACGTAATCCTACTTTCAAACCATTTCACCCTGTTTTGTGACTATAAAATGCTTTCAGTTCAATTTACTATGATTCTTTGCAATATTGTACGACCCCTTTATATGTAGCCTAGTCAAAGTGTATTTTTAAACAGACCGTAACCCCAAAATGTTCTCTTTGAAAATATACACAAAACAGACTTTTCCGAAGCCACTCATAAGACATAGACCATGAAGAAAACGCTCAAACATTCAGCGAGATCTTACGATGAATGCATTAGATAGGCAACATTAAAAACCTGAATAATACTTCAGACCAAATACGCACGAAGAATAAGAAAAGTTAGGGGATCCGGATTCTCTTATTTATTGGTTTTTTTACAAAGGAATGCCTAATTTTAAAAATTACCCTACATGCAGAAAACTGCATCATGATATGTTCTTGCTATTATGTATGTGTAAGTTAATAATGCAATTCATTTTATCGTAATAAAACTTTAACGTTAATGTTAAAACAAGGAGGATTTTTTTTTTTTCTTTTTCGCGCTTTTATTCAACAGATATGACTTATTTCTAAAGACAGAAAAAGTGAGCTAATACAGAGTTTTTAATAAGAACTACAATAAAAATAGCAAGTTTTACATAAAATTAACCAATTTAGCAATTTAAAATTTAACTAATATGTTACTTACATGCGCATATTCTGTAAAGCACGTATTACTTTACGTAATTCTTAACGTATTACTCAGTCAGCTCAGTAAAACAATAAATAAAATGGAATATAATTTTATTTCCCGACCAAAATACTATTCACATTAAAACAAATTTAATGAATGTTTGTTTAGATTTTGCTTTAAAGACACCCGGAGTTGGTTTAAAGCTCGGTGAAGCTCTGAAATTGAATTACTGAAAACAGCTAATTTCGAAAATGCAAAATTTGCAAGTATTGGGGGGGGGGAGAGCTTCTGAGAAAAAAAAAGGAAATCGTAAGCCAAAGCTGCACCAAGCGTTTGCTTCATTGTCAACAATGACCGACTGGTAAGACTGATAAGATATTGGTCGTTCGAACCGGTTCAAATCCTGATGAACAAATTGGCCGCATGAAATTTTGGCTGTTTTCCCCACTTGTAATGTGAATATGAGCTAGTCTCCGATAGAAAATCCTCTATGAAGGCTTCTACAGCGGCCAAGGGGTAAAGTCGCTGAACACTGACAGCTCGATCCGGAAATCGAATATCGGAGAACGGGCTGGTTGCGTGGTCGTTTTCGTGATTTTTCCCATGTGCAATGTGGAGCCACGAAGGCATCCCCCTTATTATTATTAGTGTTCATTAATTGTGCATTTTGACTCTGTAGTCGAACGTACGAGTTTTTCAGATACAAATAGTGAAAGTTTTTTTGTTATTTTCGAAGTAATTTGACCTTTAAATCTTTTAAAGATTCTGACATCTGAGACAGATCATCTTATGACTCTTTTTATAACGATTATTCATTGAAAAGGTTAGGTTAGGTAAATGTAGCCAAGCAAGCCTACAAATATAGGAAGACCGTAACTAGAAATAAGGGCCACCATTTACTACATTCCAAAATGACATTTTTTGCTGGTTAACTAGGAGTGAATTATGAATAATATTTTCTTTTATTACAAAAATGCACCTAGCACATTATAAGTGATAAAATTGCTTGTGCAGTGTTTATGGTTATAATTTCAAGTCTAAATTTTTACACGTTGATTTAAAAATTTAGCATACTAAGCATTGCAAGGTGTTTCAACCGATACAGAATTTGTGACTTTCACAGTACTGTCTCTAAACTATGTAAAACTAAAAACTTTTATACGCCTGAATATAATGAGCTCTGCCCCCCCCCCGTGCAGCAAAGTAACAGATTCCAAATCCTCACATTACCAAACAGCACACATCTGAAAGAAACGATACCTCAAAGCCTCTAATTTACAAACTTGCCGGAGGGTTTGTACATAGCAGAGATACTTCTCTGGCGGCGTAACTCTCATTCTTTCGGGGAAGATAAATTTTTTGTCTGATGGTTAAGTGCTTCAAACAGCTTCTCGTCCCTGCTGCCAATCAGTAAATCTCAATTTTAGATGGTCGACAAAGAAAATATATCACATTTATCGCTTTATATGCTTCTAACAGAACTGTGATAAAAGAAAACGGGTGTTGAGGAGGAACACGTAACATCTTCATACCTTTTACTTCTGTCTGTAAAGCTATTTAAGTATTTCTTTCCTCTAAAGATGGGGCTAAAAATTCTATAATAAAATGTTTCCTTAAATGCTTAAGGTTATTTTTTAACTAAAAAAATTATGTTAATAAGTGAAGAAAAATAGTCTGATATACTTATTAAATCTAATAAATACGCGAAGAAATCTTAATATCTCAAACTTTATTCTCTCATCACACTCTTCTCATCACAAAACTTTACCACATCTGATTTTTTTTTTTTTTTTAATGTTATTCAGTGCAAGACTAAATGCTTCAAAATAAAACTTTCTCAAAAAACTGATTTACTTTCGGAAGCTGAATTTCAGAATTGAGGTAATTACTGTAAAGTACGTTGGGATAGTATCTAATTACTGTAAAACACACTAGAGGCCTACTTGCCTAAGAGGAAACGTGCCTTCGTGAAGAACTTTGTGCGGGAATTGGTCCGCATAGCTACATTACATATGAAGAAAGCCCAGAAATTCCCATGAAGTCAATCCAATTAACCATCAGCAACCCGCAGTTTTAATCACTCGCCCAATAACAGCTAATATTGCAATCCAATTTTCAAGAAGAGACTAAACTCGGACCCGTCTTCAACCTAATAATACAGAGGCAAAGACTTACTTATTCACGAAGAAACTGTTCAGTCCTTTTTAATGACTAATTGTGATATTCCCCGAGAAGAAGGCTGTCGGAAGGGGGATAGTACACTTCGCGATTTCTCAGAAACAGGAAGAATTTGAAAACTGCGGGAAAAAAAAAAAAAAAAAA